AGCCCAAAATTTTGGTTGCTAAGCAAGAGTGTTGTTAAATGAGTTTCACCACATTTAACAAATTGGCCCCACCCACCTGGTCACATGATCGCCAAGCCTTGCCCACAAAATAGGTGCCACAACCACAGAATAGGTAGTAAAAAAATTTGAAACCCACCACTGCTTTATAATCTGTTACAAACTGCCCTAAGTCAGTTAGATGATATGGGCATTACAGAAAACAAACAATGAAATGAAATGAAATAATGAAATGAAATGAAATGACAATCCCTGACTGAAGAAACATGGAACAAAATTACTCTATTATTGGATAGGTACTACAGTATGAGAGTTTGAGCTAATGATTCAGGAATTTAATCATTTGAGACCAAGAGCCACATACGACCTATAGGTCATGATGACCCACCTATGACTTAGAAGATTGTCTTCTATTTGATAGGACAGTCAGCCAAGTTTTTTTTTTTACCTCTATGTCATTGAAATATGTATTTATAGCAGGGGTGGGTTTCAAAAATTGTTCGAACCTACTCTGTGGGCGTGGCCTCCTTTGTGGGAGTGGCTTGCTGCCCATGTGACCAGATGGGAGTGGCTTGCCACCCATGTGACCTGGTGGGAGTGGCCAAGACAATGTTATTACTAGATATTACTAATTACTAGATATTATTAATATTACTAGATCATTATTAATGCATAGATAACTGCGGGACATTACACACCCACCCACACCCACACCCACAAACTATGACAGTGCTAGGAAAACACCAAAAAAATAAAAATCCCCCCCCCCCCAAAAAAAGACTGCCAATGAAACCAGTTTTTTTTTTCCTAAGTCTAAGAACAGGAAAGACAAAGTCACTGGAATAAAACCATCAAGGCAATGTGGAAAATTATAAAGGACAGGCACTCACAGAACCATCAACCACCTCAGAATTACCTAAACAAGGAGGGTGAAACACACTGCCTTGCAACAAACCTGGCCTGCCCATAGAAAAGCAGCCACTTTGAGACACATAAACCTGGTCTAAACACTTAAAAGCAACATATTGCATCACAAATAAACATTTGCAAAAAGGAATAACATTTCTTCTTCCCCCTCCCAAGAAGACCGTTTTCTTTTTAAAAATGCCTCTGCAGACGATCTTGAAAACCTGCGAGGGATTCCCCCACCCCATTTCTGCTTGCCTATAGCCTTGGAAGCTTCCACAGAGAAGCTTCTGCAGAGGGGTTTTTAAAAAGAAAACGGTCTTCTTGGGAGGGGGAATGGGCTATGCTCCTGGTTTTGGGGATTCCCCCCCACCAAAGACCAATTGCCAATCTCTCCAAATCCTTTTCAGGATTTTCTTTTTAAAAAACACCTCTCTGCAGACGATCTTGAAAACCTGCGAGGGATTCCTCCACCCCATTTCTGCTTGCCTGCAGCCTCGGAAGCTTCCGCAACTTCACAGTAAAAGCAAGTAAGAACTTCTCTCGCTCGTGAGATTTTCTTTACTGTGCAAAGGCTTGCTTTAAAACTGCAGGCTCCCGGGGAGTGGGGCAGGGGGAAATGCTGCCCATATGTCCCCTTCCAAAGCAACCTTGCAGGTTTTCAAGATCATCCGGAGAGGCGTTTTTTAAAAAGAAAAACCCTGCAGGCACCCAGCGACAGGGGCTAGGAGCTAGGAACCCGGAAGTTAATTACTTCCGGGTTCACTGACGAACCGGATCGCAAGAACCGGTGCGAACCGGCAGGAACCCACCCCTGATTTATAGGCACATAATATTTAAGTCTACCTTAGCTATGAAAATTCACCAAAATTCAACTGGCTCACTCACCAGTTGTTGTTGAGAGAGCACTAGGAATTCCATTGCATGAAAGACAGAATATCAATCTAATAAAGAATATCAATAGTAGTATAACTATTAACATAATAGTATACATGAAGTCTGTATTCACATTTATGCCAATATATAACAGCCATAATTTACTTCACCATCAACATACTGTATTTTGATTGTATTATTTAAATTCTGTTTGCAAAGGGAAGAATAATATTTTGACTGCATTTTCTTTTTAAAAATATTCTATAATTAAGAGGACATGAATTGGTTATGAAATAACAGATAATACAAGAACTCTGTTATTATATTATAGATACACATAAAAAGAGTTTAAATTGCTCTGAGAGATAACTGGATAAAAATCTGTAAATGTCAGATATAAGATATCACGCTAAGGATTAGATTATGCACTTCTACATTCTAGAAGCAAAAATATATACCATTAAAATGGGTGCTTTAATGATTTCAAATCAAAACCTTGTACTAGTGGCTTAGCTCATTGTTTTCTTTTGTCTTCTATAGATAGACATTCATATTGCAGAACACCTTAGAGAAATATCCAATGCATTTTGTCTATTTATTGTCTATTTACTAAGAATCTTCTCATATTAAAATAAACTGCACATTTATGGAGGCTATTTCAAAAATAAGGCAATTTAGTTTCTTTGCCAATGCATAAAATTAATGAGTAAATTTCCTCAAGACAATATCAATTGTTTAAATCTGCTTTAGAAAGCCAAAAACTCAAGCTCTCTGCCTCTCCTCCCCATGAATCCAAGCATCATTTCAGCAACGTTTGAAAATGAAATTGTAAAATGTGCAAATACTCTTACAAAAGTGAATTGCTATTTTTCTGAAGATTTAAATAATGTTAGAGAAGCTTAGCTCCCCCCCCCCCACACACACACCCAGGCCTATTGTGGCTCCCAGTTCTGTCAACTGCATAGAAAACAAATACAATGCTTCAGAAAGGTGATGCTCTTTCAAGAAAGAGTGGGGTAAAAGTTCACTTTGACTCGATTAATGTCAACAGAAAATGCCAAGCTGCCAAAGGACACATTATAAAGCTACACAGCTACACAGACTGACAGGCAAAAATCCACGGCCAAATTGCTCTGCCAGAACAATAGCTACACTTCATCCTCAATGATGAATTCTATTTTCAAGTTCTAAACTATTTTCCTATGGGAAAAAATTACCATAAGCTATTTTAGAATGTCTAAAGAAGGATATTCATAAGAATCAATGTGGAGTATTACCTTAAAGACAATGCTAGTAATATGTTGAATGCCTTGTAATATTTGGAGCAACATAACGAAGATGAAGCTTCACTGATTTTCCTAGACGCAGATAAAGCCTTGATCATTTGAACTGGGCTTTCTTGGTCAAGATATTAGAAGACATGGATTTTGGAGATAACTTCATAAAATTGATTAAATCTATTTATACTTCATAGAAAGATGAAATAATTGTTATTTTGTAATTAGGAGGATATAATCTGATATTTGGAAGACAAGGATATTTAGGATGAAATCAAGAGTAATGTGGATTTAAAAAAATTATATGAGATTTGCTAAACAGTTCTTGAGTTAGACCACAATTGGCTCCAGAATTTTGGTCAGATGCCATGATGGTCATCAAGTGAGATGCCTACATGATCACCTTGCTCAACAACCTCAATCCCAGTTCTCCATATTGCTTTCTGTCTATTTAATGAGCAAAGGCAAAACTTACGCAACATAACTGATTTTTAGATATCCAAAATTTCTGGTTGACATCAAGTTGGACAAACCTGGGTTGTTGTTGTTGTTGTTGTTTTTTGCTTTATATAGGAATGAACATAATGGGTGTTAAATTCCTATCTCAAAAATTGTTTTCAAATAGACTAGAAGGTTTTTGTACCTATGCTGAACCTTAACAAGGACCTGAAAGGGCTCATAAGAAGTAGATGATTTTGGTGCTCTGCTAATATTTGTTTAAATGTGTTAATAATAGCCTTGGTGGATCTGTAAACAGCTTCTGATTCTGCTTGCTTTGCTATTTCACACTTCCCAATGGTGGCAAGAATCGAGTTATAGGCCTGGAATCAGAGGGACATAAAATGAATTGTTGCCTCATCATCTAGAACTGGTTCCTTTTGATGCAACAGTCTTTGTCTCTTCTTCATTGCTTGCTGGGTCAATATTTTTAGTTATTTTCAAAATATCTAAACTGTTATGCTAATGCTATTAGGGGTCCATAAAATGCCCAAAGCATCAACTAAATTTGGAAAAGTCAAGTCCGCTACAATGAGGCCATAATTAAAGCTCTTTGGAATTTAACTTTCTCAACAGAAGTACCAAAAACATTAATGTTACAATGAAAAAATTCAAAACTGTACTTTTTCTTTGCTTCTAGTACTTTCTTGATATACAGTACTTTGTTTTCCCATCCCTTTTTTACATGCACTGTTACAGATATAACATATGTCAAAAATGATCAAGGCTTCAGGGTTACAGCCTTAGCCAATATTTTGACTTTTGTTCTCATTCTTATGTGGACAACTATGCATCATATGCAATTTTCCTATTAAGCATCACTGTTGTCTTTGGGAAAAGTTGAAGAATCACTATTCCTTTCTTCTATTTGCTGATCTATTTCTTCTTTTTGATTGCACTGAAAATGGCACTGTTATCCTTGCCTATTTCCTCTACTCTCTTTTGATGTGTTCCCTAATATCAACATTTAAAATTCAAGTTCCTTAAGGTTTGTCCTGATTTAAGTTTATTCATATTACTCTTTAAAAGTGTTGCTATGTGGTAACTAAAATATTTATCAGTGACTTCAAAAAACAACAACAACCAAACCCATAGCATAATTTATATAGTCCTCCTTTGTGTTTGGAAGAATAATTTCTTTTCTCACACCACAACACGTCATTTATCCCAAAGTTCAGCTCTGTTATGAACTTTAGCACTATACTCCAGACAGATAAACTTTGAACTATTTGTACTTAGGTATAAATAATTCAATAAGTAATAAATTCCTTTACAAAAGATAAAATACGATCTTTATTTTTTTCATCAAATCTAAAACAAACTTTCTTTTTGTAACCAAGTAGCTTCCTACCAAAGAGGAAAGTTCAAAATTACATGAAGAAATACTTTGTAATCTAAAAAAAAAAAAAGAGTTGTTATGCTCACCTGAAGATATGTTGATTTTATTCTTCTTCACTCCAGTAACATTGATACGGACATTGATTTTTCCCTCAGTCAAGTCAATCTGAATGCTACCCAATCCTTCAGCAAAATTGCTGAACAACAAAACTCCATTTGGATTCCATGTCCGAAATTGAAAGCTGACTGAGAATAATTCACGATTTGAATGGCCAGGCACTTCCAGGAAACTAGTAGCATTAAAAAATACTGGCACTGTATGAGGCTCCACACAGGAAAAGCTTAAATTCCCCTATGTAAAAACAAAATGAAAAGCACATGCATGTAAAATCCAATATCTTTCAATTGTGCTTACAAAAATAATATCCTCATAGCTTTGCTAATAAAATAATTGTACTGACCCAGTGAAATTTAAAACATATTAATTTATGGAAAAATATTTAATAGTTAAATAGTAGTGACAGGTATTATTCTTCTAAACTTGACAATCCTTGGAATTACTAAATTTCTGAAATATCCAAGTATGCTACTGTACCTGGAAAGTAGAATGGAAATACATATGTAATAAATATTTAATATTGTTCTTAGATATTTAAAAAAATTAAAAAACACAACAATCTTGTTCAGTTATTTTTAATTTTGTAATACAAATGTGGAGACAGGCTGAGGGAGCATTGTTGCCCTGACAGTCTATAATGTGTGTCAAAATGAATACTCAAAGACTTCTGGCTAGTTCTTGTTTTGCTATGTACAAAGACACTAACAGTTGTAGTGTAATATTTTAACCTGCTTATCTATGACTGTGAAATCACAGCTGACAGTTCATTAGCTGTTGTTGGCCATCATAGGCATTAAGTTCTTCCTAAGAACCCAGGATTTCATAATGTATCAGCATAAGAGAAATTTCTTAACAGTGAGAACAATCCATTAGTTGCTAAATTGTTGCTAAAAATGTAAATCTTTGATTTTTCAGAAAGAATGTTACAAACAATAAAGTGATGTTCAAATCAGCTATTATCACACATGTAAACTTTGAACTATTTATTTCATGCACTCACTATTCAAATTTGTTAATCCAATATAAGTGGATTACCCATTCCTAAGAGTGCAGTGAGATTTATACAACAATGTATAATTATCTTTGACAAACACATCATAATACAAATGCTAAAATGTGTATCAAGGTATACACATATCAAGGTAAAAATGGATTGCAAATATATATGAATAATATGCAAAATGTCTTTCCCCCTGTTAGATGACATAAAGCAATGAACTGACCCCAGTAGAAGGTTCCAACTTCTTCCTTCTGGCCATATCTGTGATATTGTTGGTATTGTAGATTATGCTTTCCAAGCAGCCTTTGAAATTTTTTCTGCTGTTTGAACTCGGCTTCCCAGAAAAAGGCATACCTCCAAATGTTATCTTTGAAAAGAAATGTGAAATATTTTATATGAATGACAATTTATCTGATCTCTCCCAGATTTTATCTGTAAATAAGTGAGTTAATCAATAATTAATATACTTGCACAATTTACTTCACAAGATGAAACAATTTGTCATTGTCTCTTTGAGGAGATATGATGTGATGTGATATTTTACAATCAGCAAGGTAAACCTAGATGCTGCTGTTTACATCCTCTGTAAATTTATTTCCTGTTATCTATTGTTGAACATTCGAGTGAAGACCTATCTGCAAGAACCAACAGAAACCATCAATATGTACTTTTATTGAGAGAATGAGTTATCCTTCTGTAATTTGCATGCATTCCCAGATTCTGTGGAAATTTTAATTTTAAGGTACCAAGTACTACACTGCAAGATGATAATAACTTAGACTATGATGTTCCTTTTATTTAAAATTTATAAATTTGGAATGGAATATGATCGACAGAATATCTATTTCCTGTCTTATCCTTCCATTTGAAGTCTCTCCCTATATGTTCAAAGGTGGGTTCCTACCACTTTGGACTGGTTCAGCGAGTAGGTAGCAATTCGGCCTGCCATGCCCCTTCACTAGTTTTATCGGTGATGCCATAGGCGCATGTGCAGAAGCATTTTTTTTTACTACTGTGCATGCATCAAGCGTGCATTGGAAGTGCATCCCAGAAGTAGCAGAAGCTGGAACTCACCCTTGTATATGTTCCCCTTAATCATGAAGGTTGGATTGAGATACTCAGGGCATTACATAAAACATAAAATTTGAAATGCAATGGCTTTTCATGGCACAAGGCAATGCTTACAAGCATGTGAGCCATCCATTCCAGGGAGAAAGCAATTAATTGCACAACCAAAACAAGTTTAAAATGGGCTCACTAACATAGAAATTAGTTAAAATAGAAAATAGGAACTCATTTAATTTACGAACCCAGGAAATGAATGAGAAATGCAAAACTTTTTACATGTAGCCCCTTAAGAAACACATGTGAAGATGAACCTGTCCTTGAGTCCTGCAACATTTGTGGCATGTTTTGCTTTTCCTAGAAACTAATCATTGTACAATTTCAAAAACTGCAAACTTGTGGCAGGGTTTCAACAATGAGAACTTCATCCAAGAAATGTAATAGTTTTGGCTGTTTAAGAGAAGAAAAATTGTAAAAGTAAATTGAAGAATCTGCTACAACTGTGGACTGTGGACTTTGTAGAAGCAGTTCTCTGTAATAGATATAATTAACTACTGAGACATGGAAACTGGTATCCCAAAGCAAAAGATACAAGAACAGCTTTGGCATAATTACAGATAGATTTTAGTGGAATCTTTAGTGAAATCTCTTTAAGTCTATAAGTCTATAAGTTTATTTATAGGCCGCCCTTTTCCCTGAGGGGACTCAGGGCGGCTTACAACTTATGGGGTAGGGAATACACACAATGACATATAAAACAATACATAATTAAAAATAGAAGCAACATTCATCATTCGGGTGGGGACGGATTATAATCTTTAACCCCAGGCCTGACGGGATAGCCAGATCTTGAGGGCTGTGCGGAAGGTCTGGAGGGTGGTGAGGGTACGAATCTCCATGGGGAGATCATTCCAAAGGGTCGGAGCTACTACTGAAAAGGCTCTCCTCCGCGTAGTTGCCAGTCGACACTGACTGGCGGATGGAACTCGGAGGAGGCCTAATCTGTGTGATCTAATAGGTCGCGAGGAGGTAATTGGCAGGAGGCGGTCTCTCAAGTACCCAGATCCACTACCATGAAGGGCTTTATGGGTGGTAAGTAGCACCTTTAGTACTGAACCTTGAAAAACCTTGAAAAATAGAGGAAATGCAGTTGTCCACTAAAGGAAAAGTTGATGATCATTGATGAGTATAAAGAATGAAAACAAAGATGAACTGACCAGATATATTCATTTAGAGTTTAGTACCTGTCAGAATACATAGTTCAAATGTAACAGAAATACTGCCAAAACTTAGCTAAACCACACATTTTTACTAACTGATGTAAGGAACAAATAAAATTCCCTATTCACAACTCACCAAGGAATAGGGCACTGAGATAGCCCGGAACTCCACAATTGATATCAGAAATGCCAACATATGAAACAAAGCCAAGAGTAGCAAAGCAAAACAAAGTGAAGCAAAACAAAACAAAACAAAACAAAAGGTAAGTGAAAAATGCCAGCAACGATCCCTTCAAAGGAAGGGAAAGGAATCAGTACAGCAGCTGCCAAATCAAGATAGCAAAATCCTTACAAGTAAAAATACCTTAAATCATACTTTGCATTGGTGTTTCCAAATGAGGTTATACCAGACAATTTTGCAGAACAGGATGAATTGTGATACACACTTGGCTAAGGATTACTAATTATATTGAATGACTTTAAGTGTCCAAAGCCTAATGAATTTGTATTCCAAACTACTAAAAGAAATTGCAAAAAACCTAACAAAATCTGTGTACTTTGGATGGTATAGCAATTAAGAGGATAATTGCCCAGTAGTTGCAACTGCCAAAAAGTGAATGTATTCCTAGATTACAACAACAGAAGGATTGTATCAAGATCACATGAAGTAATAGTATCACTTTGTACTGCACTGATAAGACCACTCTTGGAATACTGTGTCTAGTTTTGGTCACCATGATACAAAAAATATGTTGTGATTTTAGAAAGAATGCAGATATGAGCAATAAAGATGATTAGGGGACAAAAGACTAAGGTGTATGATGAACTGTTGCAGGAACTGAGTTTGCCTAGTCTAACCAAAAGAAGGACTAGGGATAACATGGTAGCAGTCTTCCAATGTTTGAGGGGCTGTCATAAAGGGTTGGATTAACCTATTCTCCAAAGAACCTGAGGAAGTAATAAATGGAAGGTTATTAAAGAGACATCCAATGTAGAATCAAAGAGAGCTTAATGGCAGAACATTAATCATGACAAACATGAGATCATTTATTGTAATAAATGTGAGAATCAATGGAATAGCTTGCTTTCAGAGCTGTGGGTGCTCCATCTCTGGAGGCTTTTAAGAAGAGATGGGACAGTCATTTGTCTGGAATCATTTTGGATTTACTGCTTGAGCATAGGGTTGGGTTGGAAAACTGCCAGTGTCCCTTCCAATTCTGTTATTCTGTTATTCTTTCTTATTGGCTAGTTTGCTTTCTTTGGTTTTCAGTAAGCCTTCACAATGTTTTACATTCAGGGCATCTTTTTCATTATCGTCGAAATGTTCTTCCAATCTCCTTTCTTCTTCAAATATCTGGAGTATTGCAATATCACATATCTACCAAAGATCTTGGTAAATAAGTGAGTCAAAGTCACTATGTTCATGAAGGGCATGATTCATTTTCCCCCTGATCTCTCTGTCCAGTGCTTCCAGTTCTATTTGGGTCCCGTCTACAATTCCAATTATATATCTAATGAATGGAAATGTCCATTTGTTAATTGCCTTGATAGTATGTTTTTCATTGTATCTTATGATGCCTTCACTGCTAACCTTCTTCTTTATACCAGTGTGCTTGATGTTGTCAGTTTGAAGGATGCACTGGTATTTGTAATGATCTTCATCCAGACTATTGATGTTATTGCTATATTATTTTATTGTGATTGGAAAATAATGAACTAGTTGTTTAGACTGGTTTATGCATTTTTATACATATGTATAAAGTCCTGTCAAGGATGTGAAATAGGAAGATGTTGTTTGATGCTGTTAAACATATTTGTTGCACAATGTAAGATGTTCCAAGTAAAGTTCCCTTTTGCAATTGACTGATAACAATTTTGTCAATGCTGATTGCATTCACATGATATTCCAGATGTTTTGGGATTGTACCCAAAACATTGGCTTCTTTGATCCCAGTCATTCTACTTCTATTTGCAGGTGTTAGTATTTTGTTATTTTCTTCAGTTCTTTTATTATGCTGTCTCCAGATACTGCCCAATTCACAATCCAGACCAGATTTTTTGTCTTCCTTATCAACACTTGGTCGGGTTTTGCAGATGCTTTTCAGTTTGAATTCTAAAACCTAGAGCAGCTTAGCTTCTTCATTTTCTATTACTTTCTCAATTTTATAGGCTCACTTTGCTTGAAGGCAAACAATATTTCTTGCAGGTCTTTCAATGCACCATTGTTACTACTTTGTCATGTTGTTGTCTCTAGTAAGTCTCTATGATCTTCTTGCAGCAGCTAATAGCAATAGCAATAGCAGTTAGACTTATATACCGCTTCATAGGGCTTTCAGCCCTCTCTAAGC